AGTATGTGGATAAGAGAGTTTCCCATCTTCCTGTGTTTGGATGTGTGGTCAGGTCCCCCTCCCTTCCCATTTTTGAATGAAACTTACTGCTCTATTGGGTTTATCTCCTTTTGACAGGTATATATGTTTTGAGCCATGCTGTTGGAAGAGATGATGTTAAGGAAGATTCCCCTTCACTAGAGTTATCTTCAAGAGAGCAGAGAACACGTTTTCCTTTTTTCCCCCACCCACAGTAGCCCAGACCTTACTATAGTGCCTCAGCTGCTGAGCAACAGAGGTCTAAGACAAAAGTAGTTGAAACAGATTTTTTATTTATTGTAAAAGAAGTCCAGAGTTAGGCAAACCAAATAACTCCTGTGATTACTGGGGGACAGAGACCTTCTACTTCTTTTTGTTGTTGTTGTTGTTAATCCTCACCAGAGGATATTTTCCCATTGATTTTTAGAGAGTGAAAGGGAAGGGGAGAGATAGAGAGAGAAACATTGATGTGAGAGAGACACATCAATTGGTTGCTTTCTGCCTGGGTTCCTATCAGGGCCAGAGATTGAGCTTGCAACCTAGGTTTGTGCTGTTTCAGAATCGAACCCGGAGCCCTTCAGTTTACAGGCTGATGTTCTACCCACTGAGCGAAACTGGCTAGGCCCCCTTCTACTTCTTTTGCTCTGCCATCCTCATCCTTGACCACCATCCTTGAAGGTACCTTATAGTCTAAGACAGTGGTCGGCAAACTTATTAGTCAACAGAGCCATATCAACAGTACAATAATTGAAATTTCTTTTGAGAGCCAAATTTTTTAAACTTAAACTTCTCCTAACACCTCTTCTTCAAAATAGACTTGCCCAGGCTGTGGAATTTTGTGGAAGAGCCACACTTAAGGGGCCAAAGAGCCGCAGTTTGCTGACCATGGGTCTATGATAACTGAATTACAATCATCTTGCCCTTACAGGAAGCAGTAGAAAAGGGAAATGGCTAAAAAGCTCCTTGCCTATTGCCTTTCTACCTTTTAAGAAACCTTTCTGAAAGTCCCACCCAACAGCTTCCACCTATCTCTCATTGGTTACAACTTGCAGTGCCACCGCTGATAGCAAGGCAGTCTGGGAACTGCAGTCTTTTGTTGGGCACATTGCCTTGATAAGTAAATATTAACAAGAAATTAATAAGGACATTGTAATCAGTTTTTTTTTTTACAGCAAAATTTACCTAATTTACAAGATTGTTCTTTGACTCTCCCCATCTTAAAATTAAAAACATTTTTTAAAAATTGAAATGATGGTAGACCCCTTCCCCAAAGTCTTTACTTGACCAATAAAAAGTTAACTGTTAGTCCTCTAATATTATGTATATTTTATTGGCCCAACAAACCCCAAATCTACGGAACTCCTGGACCTGTCAGATTTCTCCCAACTCCAAGAAACTCAGATGGATCTGTATCTTCAACACAGCCTGTATGCTTCATGCCTTCTGCTTGAAAGGTTCTCACTAGGTATCCATTGCTTAGTGTACCAAGAAGGCTCAGACCAAGTGTTAGTGCCCAGTGACACACAAAAACTGATGCCACCTCCAGGTCCTTAGTCAGGGCTTGCTTTGCAGTAAGGTAGAGTAACTCATCGAAGTCAGAATAGATAAAGAGGTGATTGTTCTGAGGACATGGGAGAATCCTGTGTACAACTGAGAACCAAAAAAATAAGTAGAGTCCGGTGGCCTTCAATTATGCTTAAAAATAGAACACGGGAATGGATGCTACCCTCTATCTCTCATGGAAGAGCATGGCCTTTCTTTCAACTTCGCTTTTGCTTTCCTCTGCCAACCAATGTATTGTTATATTTTCCCCTGAGTAACTTTGGCTGGCACGAGAGTTTAGCTCTTGTGGGGCACAGTTTCTCAGGATTTCAATTCCAAATTCCCCAACAACAGGTTGATTGGTTTAGGTTACCATTCCTGGTTTAAGTGGCTGTGGCATGGGGCGGGATGATTAGTACAGACATATCTTCCTAATAGGCATTATTTCAGAGAGCTCGGGAGCGAGCATGTGGGGAGAGGGGGTTATACCTGCAACATTTTCCTTTTTCCATTAATTAAGCCCTCTGTTTCCTGACCTCAGACCAAAGACCTTCGCTGTTACTTGCACTATTTGTAAAAGCATTTCATGAACAAATATTACTCTTGTTTTCTTCTCTAATTAAATGTACATTTCATTAGTATTAAGAGGAAAACAAAGTAGTAGTTAAAATGCATAAGGCTCTGGGGTCACATCATCCCATTCTCACTGCTATTCTACCAAAAACCGAGTCTGGTACCGAGTCTGCAGGGTGATTAGCATTGGTCAAGAAGTGCAAGCCCTAGAGTCATTAGCCTGGATTTGAAGGTACAATATCTACTAGTAGAGTTTGCTGTGTATCGGTTTCTTTATCTATGAAACTGGAATATTATCTATCAATACTATATACATAAGATCACTGTGAGAATTAAATAATATGGTCAAGGAGTCAGCTAAGTACATGAGACTTAATAAACACTCATTAAACATTCACAGTTGAGAAATGAGAGGTCAATATTAGAGTTACGGACAAGACAGTGTTAAGTGTTGGGCTGACAACTAGAAACTAGGTGGATGTTAGGATTGATTCTTGAAATGACAGCTGGAAACTAGGTTGGTATCTGAATTAATTCTGGGAACACAAGTCTTACTACAATGGCTAGAATCCAAGACAGCTGATTTTATTTGTTAGTTGAATTCTGAAGATTTGATACTATTGGGAACTCTGCAGCACTCAGTGTGGTGTTTTCCCCTCTAGAATGTAAAGAGTCTAGTGATGGATTCCATTAGAATGGATCTAATTCTTTCTAAAGATTCACCTACACATGCCATTTTATTTTTGCCACATTATTTAAATGTGATTGGACTTTATACTATGAAACTTTCTAGAGGAACATATAGTCAACTTCATAAGCCAATTAAAAATAGGATTTGTATCTACATTTGTTTCTCAGGAAACTTTTCAGGAATTTTAAAAAGATCATCTAATTACTGTTTAAAGTATTAGGATAGCACCATACATATGGATACCATAAGATCACAGTTGAATACTTATCCTATATGTGCTACCCATCTAGGTCTAAATTAGGTGTAAAAATGTTGTCCTTTCATTTACTATAAAGTTGAGTGCGCCTAGCAACTCTTTGTGACCCACTGAATGAAAAAGACACAAAACCCGCAAAATGGGAAGACTTCAAGTATAACTACTACACTCAGCACTAGAAAGGGTTTTTTTCAGAAAATATGTAAAAGGACCTGAATATCAAAATAAATATTTTCTCTAATGAAACACAGGATTCAATTCCTTCCTTTGCTGGTAAATGCAAAACTTAAATATTAAATTGCTCAAATTTATCACCACAAACACAATGACTTTCTTCTTATGGTCAAGGGCCAAGATGAGTGTTACTCATGCATGTAACTCTCTACACTGGCCCACTCTGAACTTTGCACACATCAAAAAAGCACAGACCTCTTTAGTTGCCAAGGAATATTTTCAAGAATGAGTTTAATACCTGATAGATCCTCCCTTCCTCCAGTTGATGGACAGATGCAAACCCCACCTGCTGCTAGACATTCCTGAGCACTGAACCACCAATCAGCATCTGCCAAATATCCTAAGCCCCCATTCCTAAGTTCCTAATCATAGGCTTTACATGAAACCACCAATCAGCGTGTGCTGAGTGCCCTAAGCCCGTCCCCTATCCTCCCCTTAAAGGTGCTTGTAACTGGGCCCTCACTCTCTTCCGCTCCTCTCTCTGGAAGCAGCTGGCAGTGGTACTATTCTCTTCAATAAAGCCTGTCCTGGAATCCTGGTCTCAGGCCTTCTCTGTTTCATCTTTCAATACCTGATTCCTTAACGCAGTTGCAGATCCTAACAATTTTCTCTGGATTGGGATCCTTTTATAAGGTCTACTTGGTAAATTCCCTAATTCCTGAATTCAATTTATTATACTCTTTAGTAAAATGGGTATTCCTTCATTTTAGAAGGCTGGAAGTGTTTGACTCTTTTTATTACATACTTACACTGTCTTGTAAAAAGTTTTCTTAAAAGTACTTCTTTAGTAGATTTATGATTATGAGGCATTTAAAAAATATATATTTTATTGATTTTTTACAGAGAGGAAGGGAGAGGGATAGAGAGCTAGAAACATCGATGAGAGAGAAACATCATCGACCAGCTGCCTCTTGCACACCATCCACTGGGGATGTGCCCACAACCAATGTACATGCCCTTGACCAGAATCGAACCCGGGACCTTTCAGTCCGCAGGCTGACGCTCTATCCACTGAGCCAAGCCAAACCGGTTTCGGCATGAGGCACTGATTTTTAAAAAAATTGAAATTGAAGGTTAGGCACCTCAAATTACAATGTCAACATCTAAGAAAAATTTTAGGCACTGCTAATTTCTAGAATAGAAAAATTCATCAAGACAAGCTAACACTAGTACCATGAATGAATTTTACACAAAATGCTGCTTTCCTGTTAAGTGGTTTAAATTCAGTTTTGAACTGATTTGAACCCGAACCAAATACTGTATGAAACTGATTGGCAGTGGGGCGAACGGGTGTCATTAACTCAAGAATGATTCCTTTTCTGTATGTGGCCACAGTTAGAAACCACATTCTAGGCCTTGTTTGGTGGTGGTATCACATAAACACTGAGTTTCTCTTAAAAAAAAACAAAACAAAAAAACCCAATTTCCATGTTACCTCCCCTGCATTGTGAAGACAGCGTTGAAATAATTGGGCAATAACCAGATTAAAACCCTCCGGGGGGTCACCCACGACTCGAACAGAGGAAGCAGAGTTAGAGGAAGGCAGCCACAGGCTGCCCACCGCGCCGCCCCGGAGCCCGCCCACTGCCAACTTCCGCCCGCTGGCGACTTCCGCCCAGACGGGGACAGGCTCCGCCCCGCCTCCTCGAGCCCAAGATTCGCTGGAATTTTCCCGCGATGCCGCGGAGGGCGGGGCCCCAGAATGCACTGGAGCGCGCCGGCTCCACTGCCGAGCGACCGCGGGAAAATTCCAAAAAAGTCAAAACAAAACAAAAAAGCTGTAGGAGACGAAGCCAAGTTTTCAAGCCACAGAACTCGGGCGGTGGCGTCCTTCCCGCCACGGCCCAAACTGCTGAGGCAGCTCTGGCGCGGACCACCGGGTAAGAGGCCGCGGCACACCGCGAAGGCGGCCGTCTCCTCCGGGGGTCTGGCCGACACGTCAGCCCGGGCGTGGGGGTGGGAGGGAAGACTCGCGAGAACGCCCCTCCGCCGCGCGCGGCGCCTGTGGGTGGGAGCGGGCTCCCGCCGAGTGCCGGGGGGCGAGGAGGGGAGGTGGGGCGGGGCCGGCGTGGGGGCGGGGCCGGCCAGGGGCGGGGCCGGGGCCGGCGGAGGGGTCCTCCAGGAGTGATGGCAGATGCGATTTGGTTTTGTAGTTCTTTTTGTTCGTTGACGCCTTGCTGCCAGGGCTCAAGGAGGGGCGCAGAGGTGAATGTCTTCGCCCGGATCCGGGGGAGCTGTGACAAGCTCGCCTCTTAACCCTGCACCCTCTACAGCTGGCCGGCTCCGGCGCTGGGAGGGGGCGAGGCCCGAGGAGGAGAGCCCGGGCTCCGGTGTGGGAGGAGGGTTTTGATGGACTTTGGCCTCCCCATCACTGTCTTTGGACGCCAGGCCAAATCGGGTCCAAAACCCTTAAAAAGAATTTTTTTAGGGGGTGGTGTTCGTTGGCTTGCCTTTTTTTTTTCTAATTTTTTTTTTTCCCCTTCATGGTCGTGTTGTGTCTGGAGAGGGGAAAGGATTTGGAGTTTTGGAAACATGACAAATTTGGGACCAGAATTTTAAGGAAAGAGACCTAGGAATTTTCTGGCAAAGATATGTGTGTGCCTGTGCTTTTTGTCCTAATCTGAAGCTTGGAAAGCTCCCAGGCTCCTGGGTTTATTCTAACTTGTGTCCCATTTAATGAATGGATCTTAACTGAGATGTGATTGATTGATTGATCAGAGGAACAGGGCATTTTTGGGCCACCCAACTTCAGCTGTGCGTGGATGTCACTCACCTTCAGTGATATGCAGCTCAGAACATTTTCTCATTACTCCCCTCAAGAGAGGAGGGAAGGTTACAAGTGACAGAATTCATACCATGTGTTGGGATGAGTTATTACATGCTTATTTATTACATAAGCTCAGATGGAAAACATGTTCATTGTGACTTTATCCATTAAACTTAAACCAAATTGAGGTTTCAGTCTAATGTACTGTGCCAGATTCACATGGAAATAAGCACATATATACATTACTCATATACAAGAAAGATTGCATCCAGAAAGAATTTTGGGCAACAACCCGATTAAAACCCCCTGGTTTTTGCCTCCTGAAGCTCCTCTGAGTCTCAGTGTGCTTTTATCTTTCCTTCTAGTTGTAGAATTTCCACTCAGCCAGTGTTCCTAGAGTTCTGGATGATGTCCGTTTTGTCTTTTAGTTGTAGTTGTGAAATTGTTGTGCGAGGCAGCAGTTTAGGTGTTTACCTATGCCACCATTTTGGTTTCTCTCTCCTCTTGATTTCTTGAAAAATATTTACTAAGATTCTGGAAAAGATAGGCAAACTCTATATTAGAGTTTTTTTGTTCTGTTCTTTAATGATAAAAAGCATTAACTTGGTTGGCTGAGTGTAGAAGATGTGTTGCTGCATGCATGTGAAACTATGCATGTACATTTTAAAATAAGTGGTGTTTTAAACTAGTTCCATATTTCAGCAAGTAGTTCCAGTAACAATTATACAAATTTTGTATTTATGAAAACCAGCTACAGGGAGGCCAGCCTGGGCAGTAGAAAGTTGGATTGATTAGCTAAGCTGCCTAGAGTGCCAGAGAAATCTCACATGTGTGGCAGTTCCAAGTTGGTAGTGGTGAAGCCTCAAATCAGGCTTGAAATCAGTACCAAATGCATTTATAAAGTTTTATTTTAGCTGGGTAGGGTATGTATATTCTCTGATCTTGTTTATGGCTCCTGAATGACTGACTTTAAGATGAAAGAACACCTTTGGAGAAGTACATTGCCTTTGCAGTGTTTTAATAAAAATACATAAGTAGAGAAGAAAAAGGTTAATTCATCAGAAAAGTTAGGTAACAATGCAAATCTTTTATTTTCTAGATATCAAGTCTTTTTTTTAATCAGTTTGGACGAGCCCTTGCAAAATTATCTGGCTTATTCTCTTCGGTTCTTCATAGTCCCTCCTAGGTATATAGAAATAATTTTCCTATCAACATCTCTAATGTAGGAACATCTGTAATCTTCCTGATACCTTTCTCTAGTTATAAAAAGGTATGCTTCTAATGGAAATCACCTTATTGAAACAATATATCTGATATATAAAGAATTAGGTGTGTTTTTTTTTAGTCAATTTAGTAGGGTTTTAGAATTGTGCAATGATCATCACTATTCACTTTTAAAACATTTGCATCATCATAACAAGTTTGTGTTTGCAAGTTCATACTGACTCCTGGCTCTGGCTTTCAAGACCTCAGACAACCATTGGTTTGCTTTCTGTCTGTGTAGATTAGGCTTTCTGGACATTTCATATTAATGAATTCATAAAGTAGGTGCTGTCTTGTGTTGGGCTTTTTTCACTTAGCACAATGTATTTGAGATTATCTATGCTCTGGCATGAGTAAGTAGTTCATTTGTTTGCTGAAAAGTATCCTATTGTGTGGACATACCACATCTTGTTTATCCATTTATCAGTTGATGGACACTTGAGTTGCTTTTACTTTTTGGCTATTATGAATAATATTGAGTTGAGCATTTGTGTGCAAGTCTGTGTGTGGACATATGTTTTCATTTTTCTTGAATAGATACATGAGTGGAATTGCTGGGTTGTATAGTAAGTTTGTGTTAGCAAATTATCTTCGCTCTTCTTCCCATTCTTATTTTACATACAAATTGTTGGAAGTTAACTTTATAATTTAATCTTTAGGCAACGAAATATTCAGTGAGATTATCGCCATAAATCAGCAATAAATACAATAACTCAGGATTGTGCATCTGGTCATTTTGAAAAAAGGGTAAAACCTTGTTTATTTGTAAGAAGGATAGCTGTACCTTGTAAGGTAGCCAATGGATCAAAAAGGAAATTACAAAGAAAGATAGAAAATATCTTGAACTGAATGAAAACAAACCCACAACATATTGCCTTGACTGGTTTGGCTCAGTGAATAGAGTGTCAGCCTGTGGACTGAAGGGTACCAGGTTCAATTCTGGTCAAGAGCATGTACCTTGGTTGCGGGCACATACCCAGTAGGGGGTGTGCAGGAGGCAGCTGATCAAAGTTTCTCTCTCATTGATGTTTCTAACTCTCTATCCCTCTCCCTTCTCTGTAAAAAATCAATGAAATATATTAAAAAACCCCACAACATATTAAAATTTGTGAGATGCTGTTTAAACAGTGCTTAAAAAGAAATTTGTAAATTTATTCTTTTTTAATTTTTAAAATAAATATATTTTATTGATTTTTACAGAGAGGAAGGGAGAGGGATAGAGAGTTAGAAACATCGATGAGAGAGAGACATCGATCAGCTGCTTCTTGCACATCCCCTGGGGATGTGCCTGCCACCGAGGTACATGCCCTTGACCGGAATCGAACCCAGAACCTTTCAGTTCACAGGCCAATGCTCTATCCACTGAGCCAAACCGGTTTTGGCAGAAATTTGCAACTTTAAACAGGTGTATTAGAAAATAATAAAGGCCACAAATTAATAACTTAAGCTCCTACCTTAAGAAATGAGAAAAAGGAGCATACTAAACCCAAAGCAAGAAGGAAAGATATAATAAAGAGAAGAGTGGAAATCAGTGAAATAGGAAACAGAAAAACAATAAGTAAAATCAATGAAATGAAGAACTGATTTCTAATTTGTGATTAAAATTTTTCCCATAATGGAAAATCCAGGAATAGGTAACTTCAGGGGTGAATTCCATCAAATATTGAAAAAAGAAATAACACTTATCCTTCACAACCACTTTCAGGAAATACAAGGGAACTCTTCCTAAAATGCTAGTATTACCTAAAACCAGAATCAGACGAAGATATCACAAGAAAGTTACCCACCAGCATTTCTCATAAACGTAGACACAAATATGCTAAACAATATTGCTAAACTAAATTTAGTAACATATAAAAAGAATTATATACCATGACCAAATGGGGTTTACCCCAGGAATACAAAGTTAATATAACATTAAAAAATCAGTTAATGTAAGAAATTATATTAATAGAATAAACAAAACCACATTGTCATCTCAATAGATACAGAAGAGATTGTCACAGAATCAAACACTGTTCATCTCCCAACAATCTAGGAACAGAAGGAAAGTTTCTCAACCTGATAAAAAGCATTTATGAAAAATGTGTGGCTGGCATCGTAATGTATATTGGTAGGAGATTAAATATTTTCCCCTTAAGATTAGGAAAAAGTTAAAAATGTTCACTCCGCTCTCACCCCACCTTTCTTCTGTTCAACAATGTATTGGAGGTGATATGTAGGAAAAAAATAAAGGCATCCAGATACAAAGGGAGAAATAAAACTGTCTATATTCACTGATGACATGACAGTTTATGTAGAAAATTCTAAGGAATTCACAAAAAAGCAAAACCTGCATGAAAGAAATACAAGGATACAAGATCAGTATACATCAACTGTGTTTTTATACTATACTGGCACTGAACAACCCCAAAATGAAATTTGACAAGGGTCTATTTACAATAGCATCAAAAATGAAAATACTTTGGAAAAAAGTTAACAAAAGAAGGGCAAGACTTGCATAATGAAAATTACAAAACTTGGCTAAAAGAAATTAAAGATCTAAATGAACAGACATTCCATGTTCATGTTAAGTTGGCAATTCTCTCCAAACAGATCTATGGAGTCAATGCAATTTCTATTAAAATCCATCCCAATAGGCTATTTTTTTTTTTAATGACAAGCAGTTACTAAAATTTATATGGAAATGTCAGGAACCCAGAATAGCCAAAACAATTAGAAAAATAAAAACAATGAAATAATTATAGTACCAATTTCAAAATTTACTATAAAGCTTTCATAATCAAGACAGCATGCTGTTGGTATTACTGAAACAGAAATGAGAGTCTAGAAATAATTTATGGTCAATTG